CTCAGCACAAATCCAAAACATAGCCTCACACTAGCTACTGTGAGGAAAAGTAACTCAATCCCAACCAAAACCAGCACAGGCATTTAGAGAGCAATGCAATCAACAGGCACGGTTGGATTCACAAAGGCAACACGGATTCACAAAGGGAAAGTCCTGTCTAACTAATTTAATATCCTATGATAAGGTCACCCGCCTAGTGGATGGGGGGAAGGTAGAGGATGTAGTTATTCTGGATTTTTGTTAGGCTTTTGATTGATGCTGTCTCTCACAGCATCCTTCTGGACAACTTGTCCAACTGTGGGATGACCAGGTTCATGGTGTGCTGGGTGAAGAACTGTCTGAAAGACAGAGCTCAAAGTGTTGTAATGAATGGGCCTACATCTGGCTGGCAGTCAGTCAGCAGTGGTGTTCCTCAGGGCTCAGTTCTAGGGCCAGTTCTGTTCAATATATTTATCAATGATCTGGATGCAGGAGTTGAATGCACCATTAGCAAGTTTGCTGATGATACCAAATTGGCATGTGCTGTTGACTCTCTTGAGGGACAAGAGGCCTTACAGAGGGATCTAGATAGATTAGAGCATTGGGCAGTGATTAATGGGATGAAACTTAACAAGTCCAAATGCCAGATTCTGCACCTAGGGCAGAGTAATGCTGAGCACAAGTATAGTTTGGGGGAGAAGTGGCTTTTGAGCAGCCCTGCAGAAAGGGATCTGGGAAAGCTGGTTGACAGAAGGCTCAACATGAGTCAGCAACATGCCCTGGCAACCAAGGGGACAAACTGCTTCCTGGGCTGCATAAATTACAGTTTAACCAGCCAGTCAAAAGAGGTGATTTTCCCACTGTATTCAGTGTTGGTACAGCCTCACCTTGAGTACTGTGTGCAGTTCTGTCTCCCACAGTTTAAGAAGGATGTGAAGGTACTCTAATGTGTCCAGAGGAGGGCGACAAAGCTGGTGAAAGGGCTGGAAGGCATGTCCTATGAAGAGCCGCTAAGGACTTGGATTTGTCTAGTTTGGAGAAAAGGAGGCTGAGGGGCAACCTCATTGCTCTCTACAGTTTCCTGAGGAGGGGAAGTGGAGAGGGAGGTGCTGATCTCTTCTTCCCGGTATCCAGTGACAGGACACATGGGAATGGTTCAAAGCTGTGTCAGGGGAGGTTCAGAATTGACATTAGGAAGCATTTCTTTACAGAGAGGGTATTCAAACTCTGGAACAGGTTTTCTAGAGAGGTGGTGGATGCCCCATGCTTGTCAGTGTTTAAGAGGCCTTTGGACAATGCCCTTAACAACATGCTTTAACTTTTGGTCAGCCCTGAAATGGTAAAGAAGTTGGATAAGATGATTATTGTAGGTCCCTTCCAACTGAAATTTTGTAGTCTGTTCTATTTTAATAGTGATCTACTGGTTTTAGCCATGACAAATACATTATTGTATTACAAGTCTAACATATATTTATGATATATTTAAAGAAGTGTATGAGTTCATAGTCTGCTCCACAGAGCATATAAATAAGTGTCATATTGGTTCCTTGAAGAATATTATAGCTAATATATAAAAAGCTATTTCTTATTTTATAATTTCAGGACTTCTGCTTTTTGCTGTCTACCAGAGCTGGAGGATTAGGTATAAACTTGGCATCTGCTGATACTGTAGTTATATTTGATTCTGACTGGAATCCACAGAATGATCTGCAAGCACAGGCTAGAGCTCATAGGATTGGACAGAAGAAACAGGTATGCACACTTGTCTTTTAAGCTCCAAACTTGAAGGAGAGTTTCATATGGTAGCCACAAGATGTCTGTCTGGGCCATTGCTGTCCTTGTGTATTTTGACAATAACTAATACTTGCCAAGAATGTCTAAAGAAGTTGATTATGCTAATTTGCCTTTAAAAAAAAAAATCTCCCTATACGGAGAGATTGAATGGCGGTCATAATATGTAGATGGGTAGGGAGAAGATTTGTGGACTTGTCCCACGTCATTGGCATCATGTTATTCTAGAAAGTAACTGGTATACTCCAGGTGCATCTGTTTTACTTAAAAGTTAAATACTTCGTACTTCTCTTTAGGTTTCTTTCTTGCAGAAGACTTCGGGTAGTAATCAGATATAACACTGTTCCTTGTGGCCGTGCTTGTGCCTAATCACAGAAGTTTAAAGAGTAGATGTCTAAGAATTTCTTTCTTTTATTTTTTTAAATAATGTATGTAGAAATTATGGTAACATGATTGACTGGTTCCATGTACGAAATACTAGTTCAGTAAGATTTAGAAGATTTGTAATCATGACTAACATTGCTCCCTGTTGTTGCTCAAGGGTTTTTTGTTAACTTCATCTGAATATTGTTTTCATGTGTCATTTGTGAGCATGTAAATAAAGCCTTTTTATAATATGCATAGGTTAATATTTATCGTCTAGTCACAAAAGGATCAGTAGAAGAAGATATTCTTGAAAGAGCCAAGAAAAAGATGGTGTTAGATCACTTAGTAATTCAGAGAATGGACACTACAGGGAAAACTGTACTACATACAGGCTCTACTCCTTCCAGGTATATCTGTTTATTCTTTCATATCCACTTAGGCTTAAGTATACCTGACTGAGTAAAAATGCAAGTCATTTCACTTGTTTAATAAAAGGCAAAAAATACGTGGTAAGGAGATTGCAAAGTAAAAGATTGTAAGTAAAGATTGCAAAGTATATTGTCTTTGTATTTTTTTTTTTTTTTGCATATTAAATAAAGCCCTTATTTAAGTCAAAAGGAGTTTGATTAACATATGGTTATAGTAATTTGAAAAAAATCACTAAGATAAAGTGTTTATCTGAAACTTTCTGTATTTCAGCTCAACACCCTTTAATAAGGAAGAGTTATCAGCAATTTTGAAGTTTGGTGCTGAGGAACTTTTTAAAGAACCTGAAGGGGAAGAAGAGGAGCCTCAGGTAAATGGAATAGTGTATCTACATTTGATGGATAGAGAAACTAAAAATATGTATGAATTGTTTTGTTGTAAAAAGAAACTTCTGTTTCAGGAAATGGATATAGATGAAATCCTGAAGAGGGCTGAAACTCGAGATAATGAGCCAGGCCCACTAACTGTAGGAGATGAGTTGCTTTCACAGTTCAAGGTATTGCTCTGTTCCCTCCCTCTTCCCTTAATTATACTTTTCTTTATAAATGCTGCTTTTTAAAATTCTTTTGTGCACCTATTCATCTTTTCTTTATTCTTATGAAACAGGTGCAACAATAAATCAACTCTGGCATAGAATGTCTTTTCACCTATACAGGGTACAGGTGTCTTTTCACCTACACTGCCAGCACAAACATTTAAAAATACATAATGTATTTTGCTAACAAAATAAGAAAGGAATTTGCAAATACATTAGTCTTATTTAATAATTACTATACTGGGGAGGGCTGTTTTTCATTTAATGTTTTATGCTGTTAAGTACCTGCCGTACTTCTGAAATTAGAGAATGAAGTTTGGATTTCATGTTGATGATCTAGAAATTCCTTTCAGCCCCCATGTAAACGTGAATGCCAGATATGCTTAACTGGATAACACTTAAAATATTAAGTGGGTCCAAATTGTGTGTGGTGGTTTTGTTTTGGAAATTTTGTGGATCTCTGTTGCTTTTTAGGTTTGGTGTGGTTTTTGATTGTTTTTGTTTAAAGCAGGGCAGGACTTTTTTAGATCAGTAAAGTACTAAATCACTTTCCAGCTAATCATTTATTGTGATTTCTACAGTTTATTAATGTTTGAATAGTTCTACATTATTATAGTTTCATATTAGCTCAGGCATTGAGTTAGACTTGCTCTCTGCTTTGAAGGGAATTAAACAGCAATCACAGCTATTGGGGAGGCATTTCATAGTGTTTCTATATTACTTAACTTATAAAAGAAGAAAAAGATTCTTATCTTTATATTCAGCCAAGTTGCACAGAATGTGTTCATTTCATATATGAAAATACTTTTGTTAGAGTGCTTCACGAAGCATTTTATACATGTACATTTTGTGTATATATAAATAAATAAAATATGCTGTTCTGAACTAAGTTTTCCTAAAATATTAATTACTGACTCTTTGTTTAAACAAAATCATGTATTAATTTGGTGAAAATACTTATGTTCCAATACATAAGGTGGCTAACTTTTCCAATATGGATGAAGATGACATTGAGTTGGAACCAGAACAAAATTTAAGAAACTGGGAAGAAATCATTCCAGAAGTCCAGCGGCGACGAATAGAAGAGGAGGAAAGACAAAAAGAGCTTGAAGAAATATATATGCTCCCAAGGATGAGAAACTGTGCAAAACAGGTATCTCTGGGGTTTGACCAACTAACTTTGATTTTTATTTTAGTTGTTGTTTGATTTTTTTTGTTGTTTTGGCTTGTGCTTTTGGGCTGGGTGGTTTTCATGCGTGGCACTACCCCCTCCCCCACCCCCATTTTTTACAGGCTAGATAACACATTAATGAAATGTTTTAGTCATGTAGCTTTGAACTAAAAATTCCAGGTCAGCTTTAATGGAAGTGAAGGGAAACACAGTAGGAGCAGAAGATATTCTGGATCTGATAGTGACTCCGTCTCAGAAAGAAAACGACCGAAAAAACGTGGACGACCTCGAACTATTCCTCGTGAAAATGTTAAAGGATTTAGCGATGCAGAGATTAGGCGGTAAGATGTGGGGAGACATGCATGCTTAAAGGAACAAAACATTTTTTATCATTTTATAGTCTGAAGATATGACAAACAATTTATTTTTTCTGGATTTAGCTGAAAATTTTTATTCTAGGCATTTAAGGGGCTTTATTCTGTGTAGTTTGGGGTGCTGACATAAGGAACTGCTATGTCCAGAATTTGAACCTATTTTCATGAGAGATAACATTGGGTTCGAAAAATGTTCTCAGTTGTTTTGCAGTCTTTTAATATGTATTATTCTTCCTGCATCCCCTGAAGACAGTGATTTTAAAAAAGTTTCTGAAAGGGGTGAGCTTTTTTTTTAACCCCATAAACAAAATATTCTACTTCCCATCATTTAACCTAAAAACTGTAGTTGAAGAAATGATATGCACATTTTTGTGGAAATACCTACAAAAGGTTCAGTGAGGTTTGTTTTTGTTTAAATTTCTTGCCATTGTAATTGAATTAATGTTATATGGTGATTTTTAAAACTAAATAGAACCCCAACAAAATCTATTTTGATAAGTTGTTGTGGTTTAACTTGAGGAGGCATCTAAGCACCACACAGCTGCTCACTCAATCTCCCCCAGAGGGATTGGAGGGGAGAGAATTAGAAGAGTAAAAATGAGAAAATTTGGGTTGAGATAAAGACAATTTAATAGGCATAGCAAAAGCTGCATGCACAAGCAAAGCAAAACAAGGAATTAATTCACTACTTCCCGTTAGCTCTCCCTCCTTCTTACCTGCAGTTTTTCATGCTCAGCATGATATCATATGGTATGGAATATCCCGCTGGTCAGTTGGGGTCAGCTGTCCCAGCTGTGTCCCCTCCCAACTTCTTGTGCACCCCCAGCCTACTTGCTGGCTGGGCAGTGTGAGCAGCAGAAAAGGCCTTGACTCTGTGTAAGCACTGTTTAGCAATAACTGAACATCCCTGTGTTATCAACACTGTTTTGGTCACAAATTGAAAATGTACTAGCAGGTGTGGTGCTCTGACGAAAATTAACTTTGTCTCAACAAAAAACATGACATAAGTAAATCTACACAGCTGGTCCCATCAATTGGCTAAGTGCTGGGTCCTGCATGTGGGTCACAGCAACCCCATGCAATGCTACTGGCTTGGGAATGAGTGGCTGTAAAGCCTCCTGGCAGAAAAGGACCTGGGGGTGGTGTTGGTCAACAGAAAGATTGACTTTGTTTATCTTAAGATAAAATATCCTAAAGATAATGAACGCTGGGAG